CACTCCCAAAAGATCTGGGGTCACGAGTCTAGAGCCTCTAAAACAATCCGAATAACAATATCTGAACGAAAATACTCAAGTCTGGAAATGTATATACAAAATAAACTGAAATAGGAAGAGTAGTCAGGTCCTGCGAACGTCAAGCAGCTACCTCAACAACTCTGATAAGCTTTGGAAAACAAAGACTGCTCAGCTAAGCCTCCGGTGTACCTGAATCTGCACACAAGGTGCAGGGAGTAGGGGTGAGTACTACCGACTCAGTGAGTAATAAGCATATAAAATGTTTGAAGATAAGAAATCCACGAAATGCCACAAAGCAAAGCTAAAACTAACAGTTCTACACCTTACTACGAACTAACAGCAAAACAACTTCAAATATAACAGTCAAGTAAAATGTAAGGATGCAATGCAATGCACATGAACACGCTGTGGCGTACAGCCCGATCCATTTAACATCGACGGCGCTCACTGGGGGTGTGTACAGACTCCGGAGGGGCTCCTTTAGCCCAAGCGCAATATAATCATACCATTCGCTGCGGCGTGCAGCCAGATCCATACTCAGTCCACAATATGCATATGAGTCACGTAACAGATTCAATTAATTTTCCAATTTTCAATTTATTAAGAAGAATACATTTTTGATATTTAACTTCAGGAAAAGTGACTTAGCATTTTATAACAGTGATTAGACACAGGACTGAGATCAATGATTATACCAGCATGCTATCACAATGGCATTCAACCTCTAAGGATGCTACAGATCGGCACAAGGTCCCAAACACGGCAATAAGCCCAGATATATGCAATACAGGGTGCGTATCAGTCGCCAATATAGAAACATTCTTGTTCGGGATGGACTAAGTCTCAATCCCCAGTCATAACAAATCCCGCACCTGCCATGGGGTGCGAGTCACGCCCTACAATAGCGTCACAATGTGATAAGCCGGGGTTTCAAACCCTTAGGCCATCATATACACCAACTACTCACCTCTAACCGGCCGTAGAATGGTCCGCAATGCCTTTTCCTTTCGTATCGACCTCCTCGCGCGTCGAATCTAGTCAAAATCACAACGAATACATAAATATGGGTTAAAGAAACATAACCCAATCAAAAATACTCGAAAAAGTACTAAAATTCACGAAGTTGGTAAAACCCGAGCCCCGGGAACACTTCTCGAAAAATTCTGAAAATCACCCCAATGGATTCCTCGTCTCGCCACGAGTCCGTGCATATAAAGTTTACCAAAATCGGAGCTCGTTTGACCCTCCAAATTCCATTTTTACATCACAGCTTTTCCAAACCCTGGCTTGACCCGTTTTTGATGAATTNAAACATAAATATATATATAAACACAGTCTTTTGTTCTTTCACCTTCTTATAAAATATAATACCAACATGGAAAAAAGGATCTTTTGGAGTCTTCTAAAATAAATTACTAACTTCATTATTAAAATTTTATTAGAATGACAGATAGAAGAAATAAAAGAAAGAAGGATAAAGCTACCACAAGCAAAACTAATTGCCCACCTAAATGCTTAAGGATTTAGCAATGTCAAGAAATTCAGCTTTAATCTAAAACTTAAACTTTGATCTTATGTACTGTAATTAGAATTGATTTAGACAAACCACAAAATTCTTCATGATGTACAAACCCATTTCCTTAATTTCTTGTTTGAACCTTTGGATAAAAGACCTGCCCAATACTTGTGTGAATACGGTTGCCCGAAAAAGACTCAATTAGTAAAAATGACTAAGTTATTCCATATATGACTATAATATACTTATGCATATGTAAACAATGCAAAATAGAAAGTAATCGTAAAGTTTAAAAAAACACCCTTTCATCCATCAGAATAATGTCAATTGAAAAAAGGCTATCAGGTCTGTCCGATCCGAATTTTCCCAAAGCCTGACAATGCGAACCTTCAATTTCCAATTCATTGACTTGTTGTTAATTTCGCTAACAAAATTTATTTCAGCCGCCATTAAGTCCTCTGGTAATTGAGAAGAAATGAAAATAAAAATAAAGACACTAATACATAGTGTAATTGTCACGACCCGGATTTCCCACCCTCAGGAGTCGTGATGGCGCCTACTAATAGGAGCTAGGCAAGCCAATTAATTTAATACTTCTCTTAACATCATTAACAGTATAAAGAAGAACGGGATAATTAAATATAAAAAGCGGAAAGTCGTCGAAAACATAAAATAAACTGAAACCAAAGTGCAGAAATTCAAATACACCTCACCCAGANGTATAGAGGCATTGTATTTCAAAGTAAGTAGATAATTTAATAACCTCAATATCGGCGTGCTCTAATCAACTGCATGACGACGACAACTGGCTTATCATTGGATCCATTCCAATGTGGCTCGATCTGTTCCACAAAATCACCCCAAAAAGTTGCAGAGATATTATTGCTCCTACAATTATTATAAGGTTAAGCATGGAATCAAAATAAAGAATTATTGAAATATTTATCTAGTTAAAAGATTGTGGCAAACTTACTCATAATCTTGTATCACAATGTTCATGAACATACTGATGTTATCATCTTGTTTTATAGACTATACGTCCTCATAGCTCACAGTTTCCCCAATAACATCTACAATAATATTGATGAAGAAAATATGTGCAAAATAATATAGCAACTGGTAATTATTATAAACAACATAAATAAAGATTGTAAAAGAATTAATAAATTTCACGATATACCAAAGATATAACAATTGGTATACCAAACATAAAAGAACAAAAAAAACATTACGGAATGTTAAGTGAAAGTGAAAATCAATATTATAAGACAGAAATCAGATTGTCATTTTCGATAAAGAACACCTCAATTTTATAATTACTTTTATTTGTTACAAAAAAGGCAAATAGTTACCTTTCAGGTATATATAACAACTTATGTAAAATATTTGGCAGGATTTTGACTATAGGCGTCTTGCCTAACTTACCATCTCCATTTACTCTTATGATTCTTCTTCTATGGTACTTAAGTTTACTCAAACATAAATATATATATAAACACAGTCTTTTGTTCTTTCACCTTCTTATAAAATATAATACCAACATGGAAAAAAAGATCTTTTGGAGTATTCTAAAATAAATTACTAACTTCATTATTAAATTTTTATTAGAATTACAGATAGAAGAAATAAAAGAAAGAAGGATAAAGCTACCGCAAGCAAAACTAATTGCCCACCTAAATGCTTAAAGATTTAACAATATCAAGAAATTCAGCTTTAATCTAAAACTTAAACTTTGATCTTATGTACTGTAATTAGAATTGATTTAGACAAACCACAAAATTCTTCATGATACAAACCCATTTCCTTAATTTCTTGTTTGAACCTTTGGATAAAAGACCTGCCCAATACTTGCGTGAATACGGTTGCCCGGAAAAAAACTCAATTAGTAAAAATGACTAAGTTATTCCATATATGACTATAATATACTTACGCATATGTAAACAATGCAAAATAGAAAGTAATCGTAAAGTTTAAAACAACACCCTTTCATCCATCAGAATAATGTCAATTGAAAAAAGGCTATCAGGTCTGTCCGATCCGAATTTTCCCAAAGCCTGACAATGCGAACCTTCAATTTCCAATTCATTGACTTGTTGTTAATTTCGCTAACAAAATTTATTTCAGCCGCCATTAAGTCCTCTGGTAATTGAGAAGAAATGAAAATCAAAATAAAGACACTAATACATAGTGTAATCAATGAATTAACGCAGAATACAATGTCAACGAATTCTTAATAGCCTATTACTCTTTCTATTGAACAAATTATATAAAAATGAAAGAGAAGAAAAGCAAGGAGTGAAGGAAGAAAGAACTGAAAATTTTGTTGCTTTTCTATATTCTAGTTAATTCTGAGGATTTATCTGTTATAGAAATGTAATGAGTGTTCTAGAACTACAAATCATATAACTTACCTCCTGTAATTCAGAATTTTTGAGTGGTATGCGAAGAAAAGAGAAAGAATTGGAGGTATATACGGTAAAAATGTGAAACAGACATGAAAAATCTGGAGAATTATGTTACTGAGAATCCGTTTAAGATTGGATTTGTGGGTTATGAGTTAGAGATCGTGGAGGTACATCGTGGGGTGTTTAAAGTGCACACTGCCTAGGGTTAAAAAATTTAGACAGAAAGGCGCGATGATAAAGCAAATAAAGAGGCTGCAGCCCTTGTTCGTAACTTAATTTTTTAAAGAATGTAAAAGATTTGATATTTCATTATTTTTAAATTAAAATTTTTAAATTAAAATAATTATCATCATTAGAGTGTGTCGTTCCCACATTTTATTACGTCTTGGTAACTTCCTAAAAATTAGTCATTGTTGATAAGTTAATTTTTTAAAATGTGAAAAGATAGTTATTTCAATATTTTGAAATTCAAATTCAAAAAACATTTTAAAAAGATAGTAATTGTTTCAGTATTTTGAAATTCAAATTTAGAAAACAAACTAATTGTACCTAACTTTAACTAATTTGTCCTAAAATTGCCAAATGGCATTTTATTAACATAACACTTGGCAAATTATCATAGATGACTTCTTTCTTTTTAATAATAGATAGGTACTTCTTTCATATTCTTTATTGCTCTCATCAATTTATTTTCCTAATATATTGTCTCGCTATGAATTGCTATCGGCCCTCTTATATCTTCTTTAGCCGAGGGTTTATCGAAAACAATCTCTCTGCCCTCCCAGAATAAAGATAAGGTTGTGTACGTCCTACCTTCTCAAGACTCCACTTATAGAATTTCACTGTGTTGTAGTTGTTGATTTCTTGAGGGAGATATCGTTAACCCTTTGGTATCCACACATAAATATACTCGATCACGACAACTCATGCAGTACAGATTATACAGTATCCTTTTCAAAAAACAAAAGGGCCTTAGATTTTCACTAACAGGAGACAAGGAAACATGCGAAAAAGGGGGGAAAAGCATATATATATAAAATAAAAGGAGAAAAAGAAAAAAGTTCAATTCTAATTGGACAACTGTTGATAAGGTGGGTGGAGAGGCAATATTCCCTCTCTTTTTTGTCTCATTTTCTCGTTTGGAGTAAAAGGTAGAGCAGTAGCTTCTTGCTTTTTTGTATTATGGTTACTGGAAATGTGGAGATCTAAAAGGAAGAACCTCACTTTTTGGATCTTTGTTTTCGACTCTTTGCACATTGGCAAGGTAAAACTCCTTTGTGCCGAGCGTTCATATTAAATTATATTAATATTTTACGTTTAAGTCATAGATTAAGGTAGAAATATATTATTAATTAATTAATTAATTATTATTTAGCGATAAATATTCTTTTATGTCTTTCACTTTTATCTGCTTGACATTTGTCATAATATGACCATCATGATTAGAGATAAGACTCGCGTATAATCAACAGTCTTACAACTTTGTGAACCAAAAACCAACTAAAAATAAGTCTACGGAATACTAGCTATGGTACTTAATTAGTTTATTAGACTTTTCGAAGTTGTCATCCTGTAGTCATGCTAATTTCAATTGTGATAAATTATATCCAAATTGTTCTCCACTTTTTGACATTCCATTGCTTTAACCTTTAGTTCAGACAGTAGAAATCTTAAAAAAAGGCAAAAGAAATTGTAGGGTAACACCTTTGTTTTATACTAAGGTAATTGCAAAGGAAGATTCCCATATCCCTTGCTTCCAAGTAATGTAATCCAGTTCATAATGTTCTGACAACAGTTGTTACTTCTCCCCAAGTCTAAAAGAAGCTATATTTGAAGATGAAAAGCAATCCTCGATTGTTCGTCATTATCCTTCAGTTCCACAAACTGCTTTACAACTAAAGTTTGCAAAACAGTTCAATCTTTTAACATCTAACTTATCCTTTTTTAAGTTGATGAAATGTTAGAATATTTAGAAAAGATGGCTGTCAGGTTGACATAAATTAATCAAGTCCGACATACTTCAAAGAAAGTTGCAATTATAGACAATTGAAACCATTTCTGACCATCTCCACCTCCTTCGTTCTTCTTCCACTTTTGTTTCTAATAACTTCTATAAGAAATGTAAATTTCATAAGAAAAGGCTCTTTCTCCCCCTCTTCACATAAAGCCTTTTCAAAGCCAGATGTTTAAGCATTGTGCAGATCAGAAACTCACGTTCCAGAGATAGTTAAGAAAAAATACCATTCACTTGCACCGAAGAAACTTTAATTGCTCTACTTAAGAATAAAGAGGAGTAATTTAAGCAATGCTACTCTATCATTTGACTCGTTTTAAGTTTTTAACTTGCTGTGGTTAAGAACAACGAAGAGTAATTTGAGCAATACTAACCCTATGATTTGCAGCGTGTTTGCTCTTAACTTTGGCAAAGCAACCCAAGGAAACAAGAACCTGATCGGTGTTCAACAATCGTCCGGTCCTGGACATTATTTTGGCTCTTCATCTTAACGTGGATGTAGCGAAGATTGACATATTAACAGAATTCAATGAAAATCTGATGCAAATACTACGTCAACTTGTGAACAGGGCTACCATTTCGAGAAACACCAAAGTTGCACTTAAACTTCCATGGTGATTTCCCCATTAGAAGAATCGCATTACGATATAGCAGGTATGTTTGAAAACAGGATAGATAAAGCTATAGCAATTCAGTCAAGAACATAAATTAGAAGTTTGACCAAGACGTTAGAGGATAGGCAAGCACTAACAGAAGAAAAGAATTTTGTGTATATTTAGTATGTGGGGAACTTTGGATCCACATTGTGCGCCCACGACTCTAAGCCCCCTATTATATCCTTCGCTGAAGTGAAACCCGCCTTGTGAAGCAATTGAACAGCCCTTTGTGAATCATTACCTCTTCTGCATATCATATATAGAGAAGCACCGGAACCACTGTCGAGCGTTTCTTTATCTGCCTCGTTTTCCAAGGCAGCAGCTATTTCTGACAACCTACCTTCCAACGTGGATAGAGGGATGTTGATAGAGTTGGGAAGTGAAACAATCTTATAGTGATGAGCTGGTCGAACATCTACTAATACATGTGCTTCACCTTTCGTCACCACTCTCTCATTGTACTCTTTGCTGCTTATTCGAGCATCCTGTGAAAGAAGGGTCAACTTCAATGGGCCCTGAAAGAATGGTCAATTACACAGATAATTAGATCAGCAAGAAAATCAATCAAATGAGTCATTTTATACTTGAATGCTTCACTAGGCCTTTAGTTGCATACAGAAAAGATACACAGGTTCAGACAAAGGGCTACAAATATTAGATACAATTGAAAAGTTGTGAAAACGAAATGCACCGTGGATAGTGGAGTTTGAGTAAATATTTCATAGTCAAAATCCGGAAATGTCTGCCTTGTCAATACTGGATGTTCTCCACAAGCTTCGCACTGCAATGACCTTCCACGAATTTTGACCTAAAATTGCAGAGATGCGATGACTGAGATTATGACCAATGCCGACAATTGGCAACAAATAAGTACAATATGTTGAGGAGCAAAGGAAAACGAATATTGAATAGAAGATATTCCAGATAAGTTGCCACCACGAGCAAGCAAATTTGAGCGGCCTAATTAAATATAAATCTTAAGGCTTCTTTTACTCGAAGCAGATTAGATACAAATATGGTTGTCTTTAAGCGGAGAAAGGCGTGTTGAAAGCATTCGCGAAGTATCTATCTTTTTTTTTTTTGTCGGGCTCCTTCGTAAGGCATCTATTTCGAACTATGTTTTTTCAAGGAGTCCTGAATTTCAACTGCTTTATTGTATCGTCACTGTCAGCTCAAAATGTTCTTATCAAAATTAAAATTTATTAAAGGGCCCTATATTTAGCTAGTGGTTAGACCGACTATGTTGTATGAGGCAGAGTGTTGGCCAGTCAAGAACTCCCATGTCTAGCAGATGAAAGTAGCTGAAATGAGGATATTGAGATGAATGTGTGGGCATACTAGGTTAGATAGAATTAGAAATGAACGTATTCGGGACAAGGTGGGAGTGGCCTCTGTGGAGGAAAAGATGCGAGAGGCGAGGCTGAAATGGTTCGGGCATGTTAAGAGGTGAAGCACAGATGCACCAGTCAGGAGGTGTGAGAGGTTGGCCTTGGGGGTAAGAGGAAGGCTAAAGGTACGCCAAAGAAGTCTTGGGGAAAGGTGATCAGGCGGGACATGACGCAGCTTGAGCTAACCGATGACATGACCCTGGATAAGAGGGTGTGGAGGTTGATGATTAGGGTAGAAGGTTAGCAGGTAGTCGTGCGTTTCCCTTTGTCTTCATTAGTTCGTTAGTGTTAGTGTTAGTATGGCACCCTTTTATCCAGAGTTTGCTATTTTCTTATTCTGTTATTACTTGTCACCGGTACTTAGTTTGCTATCAGTGCTCATTTCATATTCTTTATTGCTATCAGACCTCGAATTTAGTTTCTCTATATATATTGTCTTGCTATTACTTGCTATCAGTACTTCTTTCATATTCTTTATTGCTATTTTCAATTTAGTTTTCTAAATATATTGTCTTGTTATGAATTGCTACCAGCACTTCTTCCATCTTCTTTAGCCGATGGCCTATCGGAAACAATCTCTTTGCCCTCCCAAGGTAGGAGTAACGCTGCGTACATCCTATCCTCCCCAGACCCCCCTTGTGGGATTTTCACAGGGTTGTTGTTGTTGTTGTTTGCCCTATATTTAGCTAATTTCGTCTTTATCAGTGCTTAGTAGAAAATGCAAAATTGGATGACTGCAAGATCTACTTTTCCCACAAAGAATGAAGAACTGTTTCATATGATATGAATGGAAGTATGAGAAATTAGAATATCAAACGCACAATACGAATCCGGCCTGACAGGGCATCCAAAAGAAGCATCCTCCCAGAGAGTGGTTCTCCAACCAAGCTAGCAACTTTTATGGCCTCCAGGGCTTGAAGACATCCAATAACACCTGGAACTGAAAGTGAAGAAAAATTATAACTGGGAATAGGAATATAAATTAGTACCAAGCTGGTAACACCATATATTTTAAAACAATGTGAATCCTACAGATTAAACATAGAAACAGACACAGCCAAACCAAAAAGAAAGTTTTTCAGGTTTGATATGACATCAATACTTTCCTCTCTAACCATTGTTATAAACAAGATACCCAATAAACAGACCAAAGAGAGAAGTTTGCTTTCCGAAAAACTAAGGGAATTTCACATATTAGAGAGATAAGTATGAGATAATCACAACTTACCAACTCCCAGTACTCCGCTGTCAGCACATCTCTGACATGCATTTGTGGGTGGAGGAGTTGGAAACAGGCATCGATAGCATGGACCTCCATTGTAATTGTAGACTGTCAGCTAGATAAACCATTCAGGGAACAGAGTTACCAATCAATCTGGACAGCTATAAGCAATTTATACTGCGGTTCTAGGGGAACACAAGTTAAACGCTCTAGGAAGGATGAATGCTTTCAGAAAATGGTACCTGCCCTTCTAGTCCTAGTGCAGCTCCAGATATAAGAGGCTGTTAACACAAATAAGCCAGTAATCAGTTCAGAGATCCAACAAAATGAACTTATCATCCAATTTCACACTTGCAATATGAGATTAGTGTTTGTATATCCAGGCATTAATATTCAATATCATCATTACATGATCATACCAGAACATTAGAATGGCAGGAAAGAAAAGTGATTTATGTGTCTGTAAATAAGTTTAAAGGAAAAGCTGCCTGTTAGATTGATTTGCAGCTTTACAGGTTAATACCGATTTTTCTGATAAGGTAGGTAATTTTATTCAATAACAGAATTTCATCAAAAAATTTATTCAATAACAGAATTAAGAAGGTACTGTAATCAGTACCAAAAATTGAACTTGTTTCGTCCCACAAAATAAGGAAGTCCAACAAATCCATAGCATCAATAATGCTAGTTACAATTTTTTATAGCCAATACACTAAATTTTGCTGCATCTATATTTACACAAGTAATAAGATACTTGTTTAAGAACCTGGAATACATTACTCATAGGAAGGAAGAAGTTATTGCATCAGAACACAATTGTGTAGTGTATAGTATATCGAAATCCAGCTTAACATATCATTGTTACCAGCAGAATCAGTGTAAAAAGTGAACATCAGAAGAAACAGCTGACCTCTTCACTACTAATCAAAAAGAGAAACAGCTAACCTTCCCAAGCACAACGCAGCAATCATTGATCATGTAGCGGCTTGGAGCATTGTCTGTTGCATCTACTACCACATCATATCTGAGAAAGATCATTAAGCAAGGAAATGAGAAAATCACTGATCTAATTTAGCAAAAGTGAAAACAGAACCAACACAAAACATCAAAGTGATACAGAAAGGAAATAAATTCATGCAACCCTGTATAAAAAAGTGTTATTAGACCATACTTGCTTACGATCTCTAAAGCATTGGACGTGCGGAATGCTTCTTTGTGCTCCACAATCTGAGTGGAGGAGTTGATCCTAAAACAAACAAACAAATAAATTAGAATATTATATACAGGTTCAAATGCAAAACAAGTTTATTCTGTACATGACTTACGAGCGACAGGCAGCAGCAGCTGACTCTACTTTTGACTTTCCAATATATGCTTCAGTATGAATTATCTAGAATACAATGAGAAATACCGTAGCCAATTAGCTTAAAAACAAAAAGTAAAATATCAAAATCACTAAGCCAAACAGCATTCACCAAAATCAATTTTCAGCACATAAAACACATTATATTAAACAAACTACCTGCCTTTGCAGATTGTTAAGTTCCACTACATCATGATCAACTATACCTATTCGACCTGCAAAATATACCAGAATAAAAACATGCTTCCTAATTTATTCCAAAAAATAGAGACAAAAAACGTGAATTAAATAACTAATTACCAACTCCACAGGCAGCAAGATATAATAGAGCAGGTGATCCTAGACCTCCAGCTCCAATAACCAAAACTGAAGATTTCAATAGATTCGCCTGACCTAATGCCAACAATAAATTTAAGTATAAACAGAAATGGTTGTTTTGTCAAGTCAAACTAAGTATGTTCACAGCAATTCGGACCGAACCTTGAACGCCAAATGAAGGAAGCAATAGGTGGCGACTGTATCTATAAATCATATCGGGCGATAGACCATTTGAATTCCCTAAATCTCCGTTAGAAAGCGGCGAAGTACATAGAGCATTGGAATTGACTTCTCCTTCTTCAACCTGCTTTACTTCAAGTTGATTAAGTTGAGCTTCGAGAGCTGAAATTTGTTGCTCTATATTTCTCTTGTTAGCCTTTAGAGACTCGATTTCCTCGCGAATACGAGATGCTTCAGCACCATTGGAATCCATTACAAAAGGCAGGAAGAATCTGAATATAGTTCCCAAAGACGCAAACTTTGGCTTGGGCAAGAACAGATGAGTCAGAAGGTAAGGCAAATTATAAACCCTATATCTACTGAACCCCCTTCTAATTTTTTAGAGCTATATTTGGCCTAATAATGTTACAACTTACAAATTACAACCCTCGGCATGTTTAAGACGTCTCCATTTCATAAAAATTGTAAAAAGAAAAATCTTCCTCCAAAACGCACACGCAATAAACAGTATCGCTCTCACCAAAATTTGTGATTAATTAAATTAAACTCAAACAATTAATTTATTCAAGTAATTCTTAAGATGTGATTATTCAACTAAAGTTATTCTAAAATAGTAAACTAAAAAATTAAAGAAAACAAGTCAGGCAATCTTAGAGACGAATTCAATGGGAGAAAATATCACAGAGTTATGGGTTAGCTAACAATCCCGTTGAGTTATCTACTTAAATTGTCTAATTAATTTATCTAGTTTATTGATTGACAGGTTAATATTACTCGTAGTATTCTTCTGAAGTACTACTTGTCTACAAGCCAACCTAACGCCAATATACCTATGGAGTATGATCAACAAGAACACATTAATAATTCACGTATAGTAACCAAGCAACGTGATTAGGTATATTTGTATCCTAACCGCGAATCCATTTCCCGATGCCCAGGTTCAGAATCTTGCTCTACTCAATCCTATTTGCAATATAGAATTTCCTCTTCCGAGATCAATCTTAGATTCGTAGATAGTATTTAAGTGGTGATCAAGCGATCAAATAACTGAGCGCAAGATTGAATAAATAAATTAATAATAAAAATAACAACCTAGTGAAAGTCCCACAAGTAGGGTACTCTAGGCAGGGTATTATAATGCATCATTACCCTACCCTGGGAGGGCAGAGAGACTGTTTCCGATAGACCCTCGGCTAAAGAAGATGGAAGAAGTGTTGATAGCAATTCATAACAAGACAATATATTTAGAAAAGTAAAATTGAGGATAGCAATTAAGAATATGAAAGAAGTACCGATTGCAATTAATAGCAAGATAATATATTTAGAGAAACTAAATCTGAGGCCCGATAGCAATAGAGACTATGAAAGGAGCATTGATAGCAAACTAAGGAAGTACTGGTGACAAGTAATAACAGAACAAGATGTGCGAAATAGCAAACTCAAGATAAAAGGGTACCATACTAACACTAACACTAACGAACTAATGAAAACAAAGGGAAACACACGACTACTACTAACCTTCTACCCTAATCCTCAACCTCTACACCCTCCTATACAGATTCATGTCCTCGGTTAGCTCAAGATGCGCCATGTCCCGCTTGATCACCTCTGCCCAAGACTTCTTTGGCCTACCTCTACCCTTCCTCTTACCCCCAAGTCCAACCTCTCACACCTCCTGACTGGGGCATCTGTGTTTCTCCTCTTAACATGCCCGAACCATCTCAGTCTCGCCTCTCGCATCTTTTCCTCCAAAGGGACCACTCCCACCTTGTCCCGAATAACTTCATTCCTAATTCTATCTAACCTATTATGTCCATACATCCATCTCAACATCCTCATTTCAGCTACATTCATCTGCTGGACATGGGAGTTATTGACTGGCCAGCACTCTGCCTCATACAACATAGTCGGTCTAACCACTACCTTGTAGAACTTACACTTAAGTCTCAACGGTACATTCTTATCGTACAAGACACCAAAAGCGAGCCTCCACTTTATCCACCCTGCCCCGATACGATGTGTGACATCCCCATCAATCTTCCCATCATTCTGAATTATAGACCCCGGGTACTTGAAACTCTGTCTCCTAGGTATGACTTGCGTATCAAGCCTCACATCCCCGTTCGCTACCTGGGTAACACTGTTGAACTCACACTCTAAGTATTCTGTCTTGGTCCTGCTCAACTTGAAACCCTTAGACTCCAGGGTATGTCTCCAGACCTCCAGCCTCTCGTTAATACCACCGTGCGTCTCATCAATCAGGACTATGTCATCTGCAAATAATATGCTCTAAGGCACCTCCCCTTGAATGTGTCGCGTCAGCGTCCATTGCCAAGAAAAACAAAAACAAGCTTAGTGCTGATCTCTGATGCAGTCCCATCTCAATCGGGAAGTACTCAGAGTCTCCTCTTACTATCTGGGAAGTACTCAGAGTCTCCTCTTACTATCTTAACCCGTGTCTTAGCTCTATCATACATGTCCTGGATTACTCTAATATACACTGCATGCACTCTCTTAGCCTCCAAACATCTCCATAAAATCTCTCTTGGGACTTTGTCATAAGCTTTCTCTAAATCAATGAACACCATATGCAAATCCTTCTTCATCGCTCTATATTGCTCCACCAATCTCCTTACAATGTGGATGGCTTCAGTAGTCGATCGTCCCGGCATGAAACCAAACTGGTTCTCGGAAATGTACACACTCCTCCTCATCCTCCCTTGTTCTTGTATAATGGAATCATCGTACCCCGCCTCACTCATCAAGCATCTTCTTCATCCTAAAAATGATGTTAAACAACCTAGAGAGCCATTCCAAGCCCGCCTTGCCCACGCTCTTCCAAAATTCTACTGGAATCTCGTCTGGCTCGATCGCTCTACCCCTACACATCTTGCGCATAGCCCCTTCAACCTCCCCCACTCATATACGTCTACAGTACCCAAACTTATAATGATGCTATGAGTATTCCAACTCACCCAGCACAATGCTCATATCCCCTTTCTCATTCAAGAGTTTATGGAAGGAAGATTGCCATCTCTTCCTAATATGTACCCCCTCTAACAAAACTCTACCCTCATCTTCTTTTATGCATCTCAATTGGTCCAGATCTTGAGCCTTCATCTCTCTAACCTTCGCCTGCCTGTACAACTTTTTATCCCTGCCTTTATCCCCAGTTTCCTCATATAAATGACCAAACGCCGCTGTCTTGGCCGCCGTAACCACTAACCTTGCCTCCTTCCTAGCCTTCTTATATTCATCTCTGTTAGCTTTCTTCTGCTCCTCGTATATGCTTTCCACTAGCTTCAAAATACGTTGTTTCCTTAGCTTCCACTTTCCCTTGAATTTCTTCGTTCCATCACCAGTCCCCTTTATTGCTACCAGAAAAACCTTTCGAGGCCCCTAACACATCTCTCGCCGCCTCTCAAATACAATTCACTGTCATAGTCTACATACAACTCGCGTCCCTACTACTCCTCTAGGCCCTCATAGCCAGCAACTTCTCCCCCAACTCCTGGGCTTTGTCCTTAGTCAATGCACCCCACCTGATCCTGGATAGACCAGGCATAGCCCTCTTCCTCCTCTTCCACCTGATCTCTAAGTCCATAACCAAAAGCCTATGCTGGGTCGTAATATTCTCACTCGGGATGACCTTGCAATTCGTGCATATTGAATATATAAACCAATATGGTAAAATAATAAGAACAATTGAAGCTTCAAACTACAACGTTCATATAGCACCCACAACTCTAGAACTAATAAATTATGAGATTAAAGAAAGAGAAGAAAAACTAGTTAGAAGCCTCCTCCAACGTGCCACAGATGTAAATTCTCCTACAAAGTGGCGTCCTCCACCCTCTCCCTCAAAATTAAATTTAGAACCCATTTTATACAAGTTAGGGGCATCTAGGACCCAAAAAGATCTTCTCCAAGTAGGAAAAGGATAATTCCCAAGATTGGGAACCCTAGGCAGCGCATCCCGCTAGCCTCGGCGCTGAAAAATTTGGTCTTCTATTTCTAGCGCCACGGTAGCGCGTCGCACTAACCTAGACGCTAGAACTCGACACTGGTTCATTTTTCTTCTTTTTAGCTCCAACTCATGCACATCCAATCAATTTCACTCCTAATTGATTCCTATACATATAAATACCAAAAATTACTGACGAGCGCAAAATACAACACAAAATTATTGCTCGCTATTCAAAGATAGTATAGTTTAATTATCGTCTTCATAGGGATTGAATTTAACAGTGTTCGGATAATATTCAGTTGATTACTATCCAGAAAAATTAACACTTGATTTGATGATTATCAACTACGTTTAACTACTAAAAATTAAGCAATTAACAATTGATCACAAAAGATAGCATATGAGCAACAAAGAAATAACAATGAGAGAAATGTAATTGACTAGACATGTACAAGATAATTGACTCAGGATCCAATTCTTGAGTTAATTCACTCTATAATAATGTTGGTTCTCACAAATTCAACAAATAATTAGATTACACTCAAAGTTAATATCCCTCTTTCGGTTAAACTTTAATTTCAGTAATTAATCCAATTGAGGCACGGTATACAATTGCAACAAACAAAATGATGGTTATGGTCTAAAGGGTAACTTCTCATGAATATTTTCCTATTTCGTAGTTCGATTAACAATTCAAGAGGCTCTTTCGATTACCTATTTGAATCACGAATTTAAACTAGGGCATAAGATGTAAAAAAATTTAATATCAATCTCCTCTTTCGATTAAGAAAAATAAGAAATAACTCAACAATACGAATTAAAACTCCATCAATTAATTCCAACAATTATCAAGAATCGAATTCCTAATCAAGTTATCAAAATACTGTATTTGTCAACACCCTAATGGAATTTACTCCATAATAATGGAAAAATTCATCTCAATAAGGTTTAAAAACATAGAAAATATCAATGCTAATGATTCGATACAAACTCCCTTATTATACCGATTGTTGGTTGAAATCTTGATGAATTTTTGTGTCTCCTTGCCTTAGTTGCTTCTAAATTCTTTCGTAGGTCAAAAGTCCCTTCAGAAAACATATTTTTGGTATATTTATACTCTATAGGAATGGGCCAGGACGAAACTACCCTTTCCTCCCGCAAATAGGAAATAAACTCTGGCAAATTTGTACACCCGTGTCGTGCCATGCGGCGCGGCAGTGATGTTTTCTCGGAGTATTTCCTTTCGTCCACTTTTTAACATCCAGACTTTGTCCTCGACTCCCGAACGTGATCCCGGCTTAATTTTTTGGCTTTTACTTAGACTTCAAAGCTCCAACTTGTTCGATTTAGCTCCAAATTACCTTAATAGCTCGAAATCACTTCCTGCAAGGCATACGACACATCATAAGTGTAATTCACTATCATTTTAAACTCAAACACACATAAAAATACAGTAATTAGAGTACAATACTATGGCTAAAATACGGATTTTAGCCTACCATCAATTAGCTTAACTTATTGCAATTACACATTAGAACCGACAAGAATAGAGCAAAATACGAGGCGATTCATATACAATAATACATACTTTTGGCCGAACATCAACACTCCACACTTAAACTCTTGCTCGTCCTCGAGCAAACCAAACTTTACTACTGCAACCACACAACTCAAGATACCACATTATAAGGGAGTATATGACCACTAAGCACACTATATCTATGACTATGTTTGATACCAACATTTAAGCATGTGCATACACATTCATATATACACTTCCCAACTTCTACATGCCCAAGGTTAAACAGATTTAAAGCTTCAAACAACCTTCCCATAATCACCTCTTCTCAAAGACTGACTCGTTGCCACTAAGCACTCTTAGTTAAGCTACTCTCCCCAACAAGAGAAGCTTAATAAATTCACCTATCCGTCATGAGATCATGTACCCTCACCAATAAACAAGAGAAGAACTAGTCCACATATTTAATTCAAAAGATCAAATGTAATTCAAGTACTCAAATATAAGAACAAGAATTCACTCACTCTCACAAATAACATCATGCACTTCCCAAGGCTGTACCATAGGCTTGCCCGTAATGTAGAACTTAACTAATCTAAGCCTGCTAATCTAGGATCAAATAGGAATTTATGAGTTGCAACGTAAGCTAAGGGGCATGTAAGATATATTTGGGTAAGAGTGGGTAATCCTTTTAAGCACTTTAATACAATACAACAATCAATTCGAGAGCAAACTTATCATAACCCAATCTTCTCATCAAGAGTAGCCCCCATTTCTTTAAGCACTTCAATATTGGCAATTCACTAGCGGTGAGAAAATATATTTGGGACGTGTGTTATTTTTTTCTTCACTTTTTCTTCCTCTTTTTTCTCTTTTTTTTTGTAATTTTTTTCTTACACTTCCCCGATGCTTACAATTTCCACTAATGGTTCTGTGTTTGCACAAGTGCACTTTTCTTCCTTTCTATGGTTACACTCAAAAGTTACCCCGTTTTCTCCTTACCTTTCTAGCGCTCATTTTTAATTAAGCACTTTATGAGGTAAAAGGTTCAATACACATGCCTACTAGCTTTGATTTCATGTTCCTACTCCTAGTAAACACAAAAACAACACTCAAAAAATAACACAATAAAAAAATAAAAATATAAAGAAGTAATAAATTGGGTTGCCTCCCAATAATCGCCTTAATTATAGTCGTGGCACGACTTACACCCCTTAACTATTTTTTCTCCAACTTGTCAATATAAATTATATCCCCAATTTTTATTCAAGCTTATAGATATGGTCCCGGGGTGCTGTCACGAATACAAAAGAACGAAGTAAACAATGCCGCATCTTGCACTTCTTAGCCTTTAAGTGAGGAATGTCATTTTGTCTTCTTGACATAGCAAACTTCAGAATATATGCATTTTTTTCTTCATCCCTAGACTCCCCCATAGGCTCGGGTGGATCAATTCTTATTTCACCAACCAAACACAATGTTGAAAATGGTTAGGATGAGGTCCAATGCGCTTCAACTCTAAAATAACTTTACTCTTGACATCCTCACTTTTGCAGAGATCGTCAACCTTGGCATCATCAATAATATTTTGATCGAATGGTTGAAACTCCTCTCTCAGCTCCACAAGCTAGCCAAAATCCATAATAATTAGTTGTTGGGCGTCAGACGCCTCAATCTTTTTATTCAATTGAGCCTGCAAGTCATAGATATCTGAGCCAAATTGGTCAATCTCTCGTCCGAGGTCAGTTCTTCCTTTTATTAGCTGTTTTGCCATATCTGAAAGACTATTGCGAAGAAACCCGTAAAATTTTATAGTTGAGCATGTTCATCTAGCCAAGATTTGCTCACGATATCTGCTTCTTCAAAGTTATCTTCTTGTGGAAACTCACTTTCTTCTGCCAATTCATCCGCCTTGCTCTTCATTCTCATGAGTTTTGCACTAATTCTGTTTGTAACTTTTTGATTTTCATCTTGTTGCTCGGTTATTTGCCTCACCATGTTCATAATACGGGAAACACATTCCATACGCCCCACTTCATTGCTCCTATCAAACTTACAAATATTATTAAAAAAATTATCGTAAGAGCTCGGAGAAGGATAAAAAGAATTAGGACAGCCATCCCAATGGCCACCTTGACCACCACACACATTACAAATATATCGCTCAAAAGATTGAGATGGTACATCCAACTCGCTCCCGGAAATATTTTTACAATTTTGCCACAAGTATGGTCCTCCATAATACAGACAAGGATTACAAAAATAATAATAACCCT